AACCTTCGATAATTGTTTAAACAACTGGGAAACCTCTGTCCTAATACCACCACCAGACCCCATTACGATTCTTTTGAATATTTTACTGCACATATCCCTTCTAAAAAGAGACCTTGTTGAAGGCATATATTTGTTCTGTGTGCAAGTTCATTAAAAGTGTCAGCTATTTATTATAATAATTTACAGGAAACTGCCATCAACTTCCTTGTGTACTAAAAGCATTCACAGACCACAGCCATGAACAAGCTCTTCCTGTGTGGGGCCTTGTACAAACAAAATGTTTTTGCAGTTCTAAATGAAAGTTCAGGAATGTGAATGCTTCTGGATCTTCTCAAAAAGTCTGATCCTTGAAGTTTCTCACCTCCAGTGCCCCATTTCTGATTCTTTGCTTGTGAATAACAAATTCAGGATCAGACTTTAAACTTTTCTGTGTTTCAAAGTGTGTGAAGCTTTACACTAAAAGGAGTGGTATCACCCGAGGGTTGAATTCTGCTCTGCTTATGTATGACAGTTGTTCTAATTCTGTTCAAGTCAGCAGTTTAAACTGCTTTGTCCTGTAAATTATAGCAATCACAAATTATTATTTCATGAAAAATAAATATCCACATGGACTTTGCTGGGGAAAGATAAAATGAGCACAACAGTATTCTTCCCTTGTTCTTATGCTGTTATTCTCCCAGCCTTGCACCTGCAGCCTGCTGCTGTTGGGGCAGGCACGTAGCAAACTGATTGCTGCTGGGACAGAATTAGCCCCTTCCTTCCTCCTCTTCCTGCCCTTTGGTTGAAGTCATTGGTTTTAATTAGAGACTCAAAGACACACGTGCACCAAGGCTCATAACCTGTGGGCAGGCAGAACCGCTGTAATGGAGCCCCACTTCAGTCAGTGATAACATTTTGGACCAGGAACAGCCAGCCAGGGCTTGAGCTCTTCAAACTCCAAGAATGACAGACTTGGTCTGGGAAACACTCCCCAATGAGAGCTGCTGGGAAACATCTTCCTTTTCCTCTTTCCCCTTTTGTTTTTTCCCCAGAAGCAGCTTTCACCATTAGAGTCAGCATATGCCACCAGCCATGCTGCAAGCCCTGCTAAAGCTTTGTTCATGTGAACCTATCCTTGGTGAAACACTTCCAACAGTAAAACTGTATTTGACAAAAATATGAAAGTGTAAATATAATAGGTACCTATATACACCTACACATATGTGTAAAAAAAAATCTCAGCTAGTCTTTGAATTCAACTTCTTATCCCAGCTTATTTAGAAGCAGTTTACATCTACTTCTCTAATAATATCAAACATCTTCTCTGCAGTAGGGCAAGTACATTTATGTAGTGGGTTAGGACTGTACACAGAAACACGTAGGGTCTGTTTAGTTGGGCAAAGCAAACAGCACACAGCCCAGTTTGCATCTAGAACCCTACAGCCCTTAATTCCACTAACAGCAGCTGTCACAGGACTACTAAAGGTTGTGATCCCCACAAGATTCATCACTAAATGCACAGGAGAGCTCTCACTGCCTTGCCCAGCAGAAGCAGCATTTGTGTACACACACTCTTAGCATCAACAATGGGCAGCCCAGTGCCGAACATCGCAGACTATAGCTCAGAGACATTAGATCACACTGCTACTCAAACATTCCCTGAAGTAACACTGGAAGGGGAATTGGAGAAAACATTTTTACTACCACACTACTCTATCATCTCACTAAAGCTGTACGGTCTTTCTCCTTTTCTCTCTTACAGTGCCATGAGAAAAAAGCATACCCGGTTGACATGCAAGATAAAACCCATAAGCGTGCAAAGTGAGACTAAGGAATTTTAAGACTGTCACTTTTATTAGTAAGAGACAAAACTCCTAGGCTGAATGCTAACAGCTTTTTAACTTATTTCCATAATAACCATTAGCTCCCGGTGCTTTTGAAAGGTTATCAAGAACCTTGCAGGTAATTAACATCTCACTGAATATACCCCACTAAAACACTTAAAAATGCTAGCACACAAACAGAGATAGTAAATTATGCAACAACCTTCTAATCATAGTACAAAAGGTGAGCCATGTTTTATCATACACTCAAAAAGAAGGTCTATTTCAGCCAACCATGGGGAACTTACCTTCCACTGTGGTGACAGATCATACAACTCTAGATATCAACAGCATGACAAAAAAAACCAGCAAAGAAGCAACTCATACTTACTTTCCAAGGTCCAGCATTGGGATGGTGAAGATATAATACCAGAAAAAGCATGCCATATCACCTTTTTAATAGTCTTCATTATGAAAGATGTTGACTCCACCTGTTACACTGAACAACTCTCTACAGATCAACAGTTATGTGAAAGGGATTTCCTTATGGGCATTTTAATGTTTTGTTTGTTTTGAACTAGGAAATGCAGGACTCACCTGGTTCTGATGTGAAAGTTGCAGTAAGACTAGGAACAATTAATTTTTGGCCACTGCAGGCTTTAAACTGTTGTATCTTTGAACTTTTCTTAAATACTTTTTCCTAGCAGCGACAAGAGCTGTGAGTGGGCTTCCACTGACCCATGTGGGAGGGAAACCCACTCTCATCAACATGCACAACCTGCCCTCTGGGCAACACCACCATAATGAAAATGAAAAATGAATAACAAACAAAAAAAGTCAGAAACATAAAAAATAAACATTACATTTATTTAAATAAAAATATATACACAGTGTTCAATGGACATGGCTTACAGACAGCAATGAAACAAAAATGATAAGTCTGAAATATAAAAAGCATTGAATTGCTATCACTGTGCTTCATTTCTCTGAACAAACACATGCTATGGACTGAAGCCCTGTTAACGTTGCTTACACATAGCCCTGTGTGCTCCAGAATGTAAGACAGGAACATTACAAGGGACAGCTACACAAAAGGAAAACAAGTACCAAAGTAATCTGGAATTCTAGAAATTTTAAAGTCAGACCATACATAAACAGAACAGAAATGCTGAAAACTTTTAAAGTACTTTGCATGTGTGGAAAGAGTAACCAAACACCACTGCCAACAGTTAGAGATCTAAGTAAGAGCAGAATGGTTCAAATCCCATCATGCCAAACCCTGCAGACCCAGGTCCTCTCTTATCACAGTTAGATTCCTCCTCTCACTCTTTCTCCCAGTCAGCACACAATCACTGTGTTTTAGGCTTTTAAGCTCTTTGGAATACAAATACATTGGCTCACAAGTGTCTTCTATTTTATTTACCCTGAAGTATTAAGTCTCATATCTGAGCAAATGCAAGTTTTTTAATGTCGAATCATGAGTATCGTGATGAAATTCATGGCTGTTGCATTACTTATTCAGCAGATGCTATGAGAGAAAGAGGCAAATAAATGTTTGAGTGCTGCAGAGTGAAAGCTGAATGCTCTGGCAATGCAACAATCGATGTGTTGCATGACTAAGGGAAAAAAAGCAATGTTCTACAGACTGAAGTCTGGGATTCTTTTTTTCTATCTTTTTTTTTCTGTAAAAAAGCATTTGTGTGTTTTTTTTTTGGTAAACATGCCATTTACAAGGTAAGTCTGTGTTTTGAAGAGCAGCAAATTATTTTAAAGCATTTCCATTGTAAACACCTGCTTTTTAAGCTGCAAGGAAGTAAAAAGCAAGAAGCAAATTCACGTTTCATGGCATTGCCTATACAGTACACTTTACAACAAAAAAAGAGCATAGATATCAATGATTTCAAGTTTACAATATAGCAAACTGACAGAATATATGTTTAAGACTATTAACTGACTACATATATTAATTCACGCCAGTAATTTTGCTGCAGTTTTTAAAGCAACTTCTTTCTTTATTACACCAGTTGATGTTTACTGCCTTTTCTGCTTCTTATAAATGGACCATAGGATTTCATGGAACTTGTGTTTGATCTAGAAATAAAAGGTTTTCCTGAAACTCTTAATAGGCATATTATACAGTGGGCTTCAAAATGATGTGTTGCACTTCTTTATTCCTAAATTACTAGTGGAGATTTAGAATACCATTACAATTTATTCCATTGCAAATAAGTGAATTTTCATCAGGAGTGATTGATTTAGACACAGAAAGTGTTAATTTCCTTATTTCACTTATGTAATGGCAAAATTCAGACAGTACAAAAATTAACATTGCAAAGGACTTCATTAAGGTTCTTTTTCAGTTAGTATTTTGTTTCAGCTGTCCACCTAAATTATTTGATCTGTATACCACAGACATTGCTAGTATTCCATCAAAATACACAGCTTCACACAGACAAAAATCAGATAACATAATAACAAATTTCTGTTTCCTAATTGCTCCAAAGCCAAAGTATAAACATTAACAAGAACATATTTTCAGTTCCCCAAAAGAAGACTTCAGAAAAAAAGACATGCCTGCCCAATAATGTCAGGCCTATGCATGTTATGTATTACAAGAATATTACAATCATCTCTGAGAAAAAATTATTTAACTTTCCTTATTTTTTTAGGTATTTTATACTAGCTCTCAAGTTAGACACTAGTCTGTGGTACAAAACTCCCATATAAGCATGTAGTGCATTGTAAAAATATTCAAAGCTAGAAGCCCTTATTTCAGGATTTCTCAAGACAGATCCTGATGACCTTATTTCCACAAATAATATCTCCTATGAGAAAGACAAGATTTGGCTTTAGATGCCAGACATATCTTTGAATTTTTATCTTTTAGCCCTTGAGAACTGCCCTCCTCTCAAGGTAGATTATTTTATACCTTATAATAAGTAAGCTATAAAGGTAAGGTAAGGTACCTTACAAACTCTTTCAAATGTTTTAAGAGAGCAGATATGTAACATTTTCTGCAAAGCCACCACCAAAATCAGCATGCTTACCTTAACCCTATGCAAAACAGACAATAGAGTTTGCTTATAAAAAATAGTTTGTTTAATCTTACTCCTCTGATATTCACAGTGAGCTACAAGACTGTGAGACCCCAGGGATGATTTAAGTCCTGTTAGGCATTCAAACAATGCACAGGGCTTGAAGCAGCTGCTACAAAGAGTAATGTAACTAATGCTCCAAGCAATGTAACTATCAACCTGCAACAAATACCTTTTGTTCCTTCATAAAAGGCAAACCAGAGAACCCAAAAATTTTGAATCCATGATCAGATGAAATCTCAGCTGATGGCACAGCCTTTGCCTTCATGGACTGCACTAGCAGGCAATGGCAGAACAACAAAACATTTGAGCCCGTTTCAGCGCTAAGGCAATAAGTCTCTTCCAAAAGTGTTGGAACCACACCAGCAGGTTTCACAAGGGTCTTGTCACCTACAATAAGATGTTCTAATCAAAAAATTTGCCTGAAAATTTTTATTTAGCAAAAAACCCACCCTACTCTTCTGTAACGGCCCAAGCACAGTGAAGTTTCACCGCAGCCCACTGATGTGAGTTTAGGGGTTTTTTTTCTTAATTATTTTTAGCAAATTAGAGATTATTTATTTTCAAAAGAACATACGGTGAGTGGCTGTTAAAATGAAAAGGACAATAATCCCGTGCCCATTTTTCTTCTTCCTCATCAAAAACGTGGCTTCAATGTGAAAAACACATTCACGATAGAAAGTAACATGGTAGTGATAATTTAGAACCCAAGTAGGGTTAAAATGCTGAGGCAAACACTTGAAAGACTATGTTCCTGATAAGAAAATCTAGATGATTTCATATTTTGAACTTGACAAAATGCCCATGGGACTCAGATAAAGATACCCATAGTATCAACCAGTAAATACCATCCCCACGCAGACTTTTACAGGTTGTATCAGAATTTCTGTGGGAAGGCTGGCATTTTCTGCTGCACACCTGTGGGGTTGCTTCAGAGATGTATGAGGAATTTATCACTACCTCTAAACTGCACATGCAGCATTTTTTAAGCTAATAATAAACATGCAGATAGTGAGGGCTAGTGAGACAACCTGACAGAACAAAACATTACTTTCCTAAGGAAGCTTTACGTTCCGTAAATCCACAAAGAAGTTTTGTACAGATCAGCTAAGTTATAGTTAAAGACCCAAACGCTAATTTATGCACACATCCAGTCATCCATATATGTATTGCTCACTTCTACTGGTACATGACAAGAAAAATTCAAGGCATTATGTTCTCCTCTGTCTGAGCTTATCTCTGATGCAATGCTAACTCTTCTGACAGATACTGAAGTAATACATTATGAGAACAAGGAAGTAATTAGTGACAGTACATTATATAATAGAAATAAAAAAACTAATGCAACAAAACACTATTTACATTGCCTACTTTACTTTGATAAAAAAAAAGTTCCAATTAGTTAATATACTGTATAGGTGAATTTCTGGCTCCACTGAAGTCATAAATTAGTAGAACAAGGATCTCTTTCAGATGTTTTCCTACAAGCCCCAAAGCCTGATCTTGCATATATAAAAAATGGATTTAATTTTAGCCATATGATAGACCATTTCCATGTGATCACCCAAATAGAATTTGCAGAAATGAGCTCTTAAATTCTTACTACTATAGTAACAGATTTATACCCAGTAATGGGCATTAATGGATTAAAAAGAACAAATTATAACTCATGGTGTATCAAGATTTCTTTGACTTCCATAGGAGCAAGGAAACATTAACTTCTTTATCCATGGCAATTACAATTTCCTACAGATGCTCAAATTCCCAGGGCAGTTTCATTAGGATAAATTTCTCATACTTCTGCTCTAGATATGAAAATGAATGTAATGACATAAGGGTCAGTAATACTTGGAGTCAGTGAATTCTTGGGGGTTTTAACCTGTATGTCTCTCTGGAAGTCTGAAGGAGGTAATAAATAGAAACAATTAGAAAACACAAATGTTCTTTGCAAGACAAATTTCAGGACTAACAGAAACTCACAGAGCATTAACATTAATTTTTAAAGCTGATAGTTCTTCATCCTAGAGTGTCTACCTGCAGCATTACAAATCTGATATAAATCATCTGCAGTGGCTAACTAGTCCTAATACAGCAGTTTACTCATAAATACAACATTTATTTTAGATTCTGTAATAACATACATGTTTTTATAGCCTAAAGATATAACTCCTGTACATACAACCCATTTTCCCTACTACTAAAGAAAATTTACTTTTAAGGGTTTACAGTAAATGGGAGGTCAAATTCAGGTCACCTTACTTGTAGAATTAATCCCCTTGATTTCAGTGTGATTTATCTGAAAGTGAAATAAGTGGTATTTGGCTGTGGTACAGAAAGTCAAGAATGATACATCCAAATGAACTGCAGGGAATCAGAATGGAATTACTGAAATTACAGGCTGCAATTACTAAAAACATATTATGTAAAGAAGCTAAATGTAATTACCAAAATTATATTTATCCCAGATATTAACATTAGCATCTTTCATAAACATTTCTGTGAAGGATTTAATTAGTGATCAAGACCTCAGTGCTCTGCTGGTTCCAGAAAACACTGTTTCCAGCAGTTAGAGACCCCTTAAATCAAATATCAGGTTTTGGTTTGGAGTCAGAATGCCACCTTCCAGATTGCTAACCTCAGTTCCTAGAGCAAATGCCATTTCCCTTCTTAATCTTCATCAAATGACTCAAAAAACTAATTCCAGCTGGCTTATGAGTCATACTGAGCTTCAACTTCACAAAAATGAGTTGAATATATTTGATTTTGAGAATATCCAGTCCATTGCTTTTTAACGGTATTTTAGTTCATAATGACTAACCAGAGTTATTTTAATGTAAAATGATAAAACCCGGTAAAAATAACACCTCAGCTGGTTATACATTCCCAATTAATAAGTCATAAACAGCGGTTGTTATATTCACTAATGAGCATGATGTATGTTCCTGATTACATTTTTGTTAAACTTAGGTGTCAGCCTTTCCATATGTCCCTTCTGGAGGTCTGTAGTACTTTGGGAAAGCCATCAGCTGTATCATGTTGAATGCATACTTTCTGCATTTGACATTCTTCAGTACATTCTCTATGCGGCATCCTTCTCTAGTGAAAGGGGGAAAAAGTACAACTTCATGAAACACAGAATAAATAAATATGCTTTATTTTATTGTTCATTGCAGAGTTTCAGCAACAGTTGAAGTAAAAATAACAAAGATTCAACTCTACATTTTTTTGTTTTGCACAAGTGATGATACATCTTACAAAATTAAATCCAAGGCCAGGCCCAGTACAGTTATTGCCCTCAGAAATAGGTGATAAGATTTTCCATTCCCCCTAATATATTTGCCCTTGAGGTCTAAAGTTTAGTAAAAAAAAATTAAATACTTTAATGATACATTTTGTTCTAATTCCAGAAATATATTTGACTTTTAAATCTTTTCATACTTTTTTTTTTTAAAATTTGTTTGCTATATATGTGCGAGAATACACTGCCCTAAAAATGCGTATTTTAGGAATAAGGCATTTTATTAAGTCTGGCCCTAGAGATCTGTGAAGGAAAGTTTCATCTCTGTTTCATTTCCTGTATGTTCAGCTTTGCAATGAAAAAAAAAAAAAAAAAAAAAAAAAAAAAAAAAGAGAGAATGGCTTTTCAAACAGCCCAATCCACCTCTCTGCTTTATAAAGGAAGGATGTTTGTTCACATACAGTACAAAAGTCACAAGTGCCAAAGTGGTGCATCAAGACATAAACAGGACTTTGTTAAAAAGAATATAAAAGTGTCTTGAAAGCAAAAGCAACTAAAGCAACAATTACAAACAGGTTAATTTCATTACAAAACAGAATCGATGCTATTCCATTTAGTTACTCTACAGAAAGGGGTTAGTTGTAGCAAAGTAATAACCATTCATTAAACAAAACCAATCCCATCAGCTAGTAACAACGAAAAAAACACAATGAAAGTTAAGTCTCACAAACGACCACCCTGCCATATTTGTCTAGGGGTTAGTTTGTGTTGTGCAAATTCATTTTTAATTTTTTTTTTTTTTTTGTTAGACTAATTACTCTGGAAAGAGGGGTTCAAGCATTCAGGATTCCACATTTTCTATACAGTGAGAGCATCGTAAGTGCGCTTTCTTTGCGCTAATTACAGTGGGAAAGCTTTACCATGAACAGAAAGAGCAAATCAATTCACTCAATGCATAGTAGAGAGTTCAGAAAAAAAGAAAGAACGAAAACACAGTACATTTCAGACATTTGCATCTTAAAGATGAATCCTTGGAGTCTGAGACTGTAGAAATATTACAACATAATTCCTTTTTCTAAAGTTAGTTTGTTGCTGTTTGTAGAAAAGAAAGGAACACAAGTGAAGTTTATTGATATTTGGCTAATAGCAAAGCAAGACTTAAAATAAGCCACACGACCAGCAAGTGTGAGCTGACAAGCAGCAAGGCGACAGGATAGAAGTGTCGAGAAGTTGGCTTGTTATCAGTTAGACAGCCTGTTTCGGGATCATCCGATTCATTCAGTGCTCCCTGGGTTTGTCTGCTGTTAAACAGGGGAAGTTAGGAACAGATAGAATAGCATTTAAACAGCAAAGAAAGCCAACACGTAGGTATTTTGAAAAAGTGAAACTACACATTTTGAAGAAACAGATTTATGCTAAGTACTTCCAACATATTTATTTTGTTCTCAAGCTGACATGGGAAGCACGATGACTAGGTGGCTAATATGATATTAAGCCTGCTTGGAGCCTCAGAGTAGTATTCACAAGTTAACATTAAATAACTTATGAGATGAACTATACTAATCACTAAAATGAACACACACACCAAACAGAAATTAAATTAGGATGTTGAAAAAAAAAAGGAAGCAAAGAAAAAAAGATCATGAATATGCCACAATGCAATACTGACAAAATAGTGTCTCCAAGGTGTTCACAGGCTTTTCAGTCCTGCTTCATTATCCATTAGGAAGTCTTTTGGCAGAAATAAAAAGTGCACACACTCTCTTTTGAAAAAATGAACAGCTATTTTAAAATAGTTTTAAATGATGGTAAATTGACTTCAAAAAAATTCATCAGTGCTGGTGACTCTGTTCTGAAGTCAACAGCAGCTCTTTTCATTTAAAGGCTTGCACTTACACTCCTGTGAGTAAATTAACTTGTAACCTCTCCAGTCAAGTCAGGGAGGAACTAATCTGCTTAGGGGGAAATTGTGCTGTCACTGTCCTACCAGAGCAGCAGGGATACTTTGCTAATCTTTTTTACTGTAGTCTTGGCAGCTTCTCTACAAGTAGAATTACACATACTTCAACTACAGCTCTTCAACGCCTCCGAACATTACTTGCATACACTCAGAAGTCCTGTCCATAGACTTCCTTTGGGCAGTAAGGACTGATAAGATCTTTGTTTTTTCATTTGCTATGAATATCCTGTGATAAAAAGATAATTTTCCATTTTTCTCTGTGGACCTGAGAAGATCAAAATATGTAAGATTACCACACAGTACTTTTTCAGAAGCACGTGTCTCAAGTATGCTCTTTTTTTCAAGAAAGAAAATGCTGCCAGACATAAAGAGTCTGTCAGAAAGTAAAGATAATATCTCACAGCCCCAGGTAAAATAAGAAGGGTACATTGAAGACAGCAGCAGTCACCTTATCTTACAGAAAGCGTGCCTTTCTGACTTTTGTATTACAAGGCAGTGTTGAATTCCTTGAACTTGGATAGCAAGAGAGGTGCAAGAACTGCATTTACAATTTCCCTTTTAAGCAAACCTCCTGTAATAAGTTCTTAATTTCATTCTTTGCTTTAAACATTCAATCTGTATATTACACTAATAAAGATGATAACACATGCTATTTTAAACAGCAAAATAAAAGATAAAAATCCCTATTATTTGCCCCTAGGTCAAAACGATTACTGGCATCAGTGTGTCTGCTGCATTTGGTCTGCAGATTTCAAGTGTCCACAGATAGAACTTGGGCAGAACTCAAATTATATTGCAGACAAACTTCTCTCAGAAACTGTCAAGGAATTAAACTAACTGCATGTTATAATGACTTCGTCAATATTAAAATAAGTAATTCTGTGTTTTGCATCAGACTACACCAGTCAATGCCTTTGTCCTAGGGTCCACCCCTAGAACTTCCTTCCTCTTCTGCTGACAGTGATGATGTTAGAGATCATATTGCTCTCTGTTAATGTTCTCCCTTATCATGTATTTCTATGTGCTTTTAAAAACACACTGCTTGCTGATTTTCCTTCTTAATCTCTACAGGATCACACAGGTCTGCCTCTTCGATCCTTTTGCACTGCACCCTCACCCCTTTTCTAGTCCTCGAGGTGAGCCTGCTGGTTTCACCTTACCCCCATTATGCCCACAATTGAGAGCTCTAACAACCCTCAGTTCTATCTCTTCCTTTCCAGCTGCAAAGTCCAGGTGCTTTTGGTTTGTTCCCTGGGTGTCTTCCATCACAGACATCATTATGTGTGCCTGTGGTAGAGTGGATGCAAAGACCAAATGCTCTTTCCCTCTGGAAAAATCCATCTAGGCAGCAATAAAGCAGAGAATTCAGTAAGTTTGCACAAGCCACTGCATTAACCATGTTGGTTATGTCAATCTGGAGTGCCTTAGCTTTGCAAGCCAGTGGTTTATTCTGAGCAGGCTGAGTTACACACTTAATAAAGGTTGCCCCTACAGGGATGAACCCCCCCTACTTCTGTGGTGAGCCTTGTTCTGTTGTGTTCCACATCTCACTGACAGCATGACTTTTATCTACATTGCCACAAGTCCTATTAGCATCAGTAAGATTTATGCAGGTGTAATGATGGAAATACAGATAAAAGCCACTTGTTCTATGCTTTTTTTTTTTTTTCCCAATAGAAAAGCCTACAGTACATTTGTTCTTTTGATATACTGAAAAGAATGATCAGAGTGTCTCAACATAAAAAGTTCTATCTTCCCCCCAGGAAAACGACAGTGAACAGCTGATACACAGGGACTTCTGTTCCACAAATTAGTCACATCATTCTATGCATGATTCAATAAGACATCCTCAAAACAGAGCAAGAGGATCTAACTCCATTATTAGCTACCTAAGAACAGGCTGAGCAGAATAGCTAAACATGCTTTTAATTTAAGAGGGATATTTGATCATGGTCAGATGCCTTGCTAAGCTCTGCTAATACTTTTCAATGCACTGCAGTAACAACGTCTTCAAACACACCTCCTAAAGTGTTCTCCCCAGTGACTAATGCATAGAGTTAAGCAAAGCAAGGCCCTACACTCAGCTGTCAGCAGCACAGCATTGCTTCCCCTGGCTCATCAAAACCTCTGGAAGTTTTACTGCAAACAGCATGAATCTCACTGGTGCCATGCCAGCTGGATTTATTTGGCTTCTGACTGACAGTACAACTAGAACAGAGTGCTATATGTTAGAGTGTGGAGTTATAGTCACAGTTTTGCATGTTCTCTCCATCCCAAACCATACTCTAACAGCTCTAAACTAACACCAAAGGGAAGGGAAAAGATTCACAAAATATCCAGCAAGTTTCTATTTCACAAACACACATAATTTAAAGAAGAATAGTGAAAGCTTCTACGGCTGTAACATCTGGAGTCATGAACACCCCTCTAGCCTATCATACTACTTTTATTCATTTACTTTCAAATTGTTCATTTGAGAATTACAACACAGCACAAATACATCGTACAAGCCAAGGGTGCTGTACGTTAATGATGATATAACCATTTCAGCCTGCCTTCTATCTCACTTGATGTTTTGCCATCCTTAACTCCTATTGTGATGCTGCTGCTTGCCTATGAAATGAGAAAAAGGCAAAACAACAGGTATTTTCTATTGATTTTAAATTCAGATGATAAATTGTTTGAACCTCAAAGCAGTGAAGCAGAGACATTGAAAATGGTGTGAGAAAAAAAGCCCCTCAAGTCCTTACAGAGTCAAACACACATACAAGGGCACATTCTGGGTTTTGATTATCAGTCACACTGACATCCCTGTGCAAGATTTTTGGAGGAGGTGCATTTTCACACTTTAGGTAATGCTTCTCTTAATAGAGCTTTTCCAGCTCTAGCTATTAATGA